AAAATCTTCACTATAGCCTTATAGCGAAGTTGAGGTCTAGGACATAGAGTTCGTTATAACAAGAGTTGACTGTATAAGAGAAAAATACAAATACCAAGGAAGATATAAATATATAGCTAGAATGTGAATAGAGGTAACATCAAAATAAAGGGGTAGATTAAAGAGTGGTAACCAGGTTATGTATTTAGATTAAAGCGTGGTGATCAGGTCGTAATCATTAAATTATAGCATGATATTTAGGTTATAATGTGATATTTAGATTTTAGTGTAACATTTAGATTATAGTGTGGTATTTAGATTATAGTGTGATATCTAGATTATAACGTGGTATTCAGACTATAGCATAGTATTTAGATTTTAGTGTAACATTTAGATTATAGTGTGATATCTAGATTATAACGTGGTATTCAGACTATAGCATGGTATTTAGATTTTAGTGTAACATTTAGATTATAGTGTGGTATTTAGATTATAGTGGGATATCTAGATTATAACGTGGTATTCAGACTATAGCATGGTATTTAGATTATAGCATGATACTATAACCTAGTCTAAGTGGAATATCACGCTTTAATATAATTATATTAAAGCGTAGTATCCCACTAGCTGTGTTGAAGATAATTCGTAAAAATATCTCGCATCTAGTCATGTTTTGAGGCAGTGATACCCAAGATGATATTCATAGAGTCATGCATTAATATATGGATGATCTAAAAAAAATATCTAAGATCATTGATAAGTATTTGTAAGATAAAAATTTTGTAGTCTTTGATTTCACTAAGCTGATAGATGATCTATTAGCGATTAGACTGGGCTAGAATTCTCCTTTAAAGCTGAATGAGTAGAATCAGACTTTATAAATACTAGCTCTTTTTCCGCCTTCAGCATTTGCATTTTTAGATCTTTGATCTCATATCGCATTTTCTTATTTGCATTAACCTGCTCTCTATATTCCTTTTCTATGTCATGCATAAATTTCTCAAAAGTTTGTCTATTATAATCGAGCAGGTGCTGAGATAGTATTTTAAGCTCATTTATAATCTGGCAATTATTCTCTTCTTAATGATCATGCTTTAACACCTCTGGCCAGACGCTAATCTCCATTTAGACTTCACTATCTACAACATGTATAGTCAATAATGCTGGGATACATTACATTCCGGCCAGCTTCCTATTTAACGAATTCTCATAAACCTCTAATATGTGTTTCAAATAAGATTCAATTCATTCAGACTTTTCAGAATTAGATTCTAATGGAACAGGATCTTTAGAATGGTGCAAGAGTCTATCATACGCTCTCTTAACAAGACTTTCGGGTAGTCTATCAGTAATATGTTTATAGTCAGAATGGAACATTTTATTAGATATAATTTTGCACAAAAAAAAAGTTTGCAAGCAAGAAATACATCCATAGGCCAGTAGTCTACTAACATTATAATTTACGCGCCAATATCACGAATTGCGTCATATCTGATAGGGGGATTGGCTAGGCTCTGATCGTGTAATCAATGGTCCTTAATGGGTTTTATCACATGATACAGACATTAGATTCTTTATTAATTCGTTCTGTGTTTGCTTATCTTCCAATTTCGCAATTCTGGCCTTAAGCTCAAAATTTTCGGCTATAATTTTATTGTTCTCAGGCTCAATTTTATCATTCTCGAACTCAAGCCTGGCAATGCATATTTTCAATGAATTGGTTTCATCTATTTCAGATTGCATGCTTGCGTAATGCAGTATTAGTATGTTAATATTCAAAAATAAAAAAAATCATTTACTGTATCATGTTTTTTTAACTCCTGTATGTGTCGTATATGAGCAATATTTTTAATGGTAAATAAAATTCACATGACCGGAATTGTATAACAAATTTATTCCTCTAAAACCTTCCAAACCAGAAAGAGCATTTTCTTTTGACATTGCGTGTATTGCTAACAAGTTGATTGAAACTTGGTGTAGATAAGGTCTCACATTTAAATGAAACATTTGTTGATTGTTCTTTTGGGTTACACAATTTATCATAAAAATTAGCAAATGATTCTCGAAAAATATCACGTACTGTTTGGAAAATTTCTATATCATCAATAAAATGTGTCATTGTCTTTACTGAAGTGGGAATCGAAGCTTGACCAATATGGTACATAAAATATAGCCCCGGTGCACTAAGTTCCATTGCGTAAAAATCAATTGTATATTCTAGAAAGCATATGATGAAATTATTTTAGGATTAGAAGGAACAAAGAAACTATTATTTTAATTTATCTTACCGATACATTGAAATCCCAAAAGCCTAACATTTGCACCTTTACCTATGGCTGAATCGATGCATTCCTTCATAAAAACGCCAACACGGATTAAATCGTTGCAGTTTTTGTGTACATTTCCTTTTTCGGCAGGGGACGTTACATCTCCTACAAATAATGTTCCGCTTGTTTCTAATTGATTAATTGCCGATACTATGAAATCGGGTTGTCTAGCTCTGCCTTCCAATTTTCTCGCTTTACTTTCTTTGAGACCTGTATTCGGCCACTCAACTCTATGTTTGTCAGGCTCATGAAGTAATTCTTTCATTATATAATCCAGATAATTAGTAATTAATGACATTTCGCTTGGTTGACTTTTTAATTTCAAACTAGGCAATGATCTCAACCCTTCTAAAATTACAAATCCTAGATTTTCCTCTGAATTATTTTCTGATAAGTATGCCATTGAGGATTTAATAGCACTGTCTCGTGAATCGTTGATTGATTGCTTTATTATTCTCCTAAATTTAGATTCACATTCCGCATCTAATTCTCGTTTATTTGTTGGAAAGAGTATTTTATATATTTTGTCCAATAAGTTTTGGGAACCAAAGGCATTGATCATCATTTCGGAATGAGAATTTGGAGAAAGCATGAAGATTGAAGTCAAAGCTAAAATTTCGTGGACATTTGTCTCAACATATAAACCACGGGTATTGGCAAGTTTGATTGATTCGTTTTGATATCGTCGAAACAATTCTGATATATTAAATTCTTCTATAAAATAATCATCTTCAAGATTCCCATTATCTAAAGATAATTGAGGAACATCCCTTATAATTGTAATTTCTTCATCTTCATCATTGTCATCATTTCATCATTAAAAACCGAATCAGTTGCTAGCGAAGGTAATTTTTCCATTTCAGATGAAGATGGCGAGTACATTGATTCATAATCTGACCTAGACTGAATTAAAAAATTCCAACCAATGTAAACACATGAACTAATGTGAAAAACACTGCTAAAATTGTGTCTACCTTTTTTTGGGGTGGTGTAATTGGTGTTGATGTCATGTCATCCGCGTCTTTTCGCTTTTTCTCTGTAGAAGCTTCTATTAATTCATCATATACCTCATTTTCTCGTTGCACTCTAGCAACGTCAGCACCACCAATTGAGACATGTCTGCTTCGAACTTGCTCAAGCATCTTGTAATCATGTTCCTCGGTGGCGCGACGTTTTTCACGTTCTACTATCGAATCCCAAAATGTAACGATTTCGTTGGACTGACATGATGTGTTATCAACATATTGAGTTATTCACAATTTGCAAAGAGCTAATAAGTGAATTAGGAAATATAACTTACAGATAGTTCTTTCAACAACTTTTTTGCGTGATCTCTAGTGAATTGTGGTAGATCTTGGTCTATGCTCAATGAATTCAGGTGTTTCGTGTAAATTTTTGTGGATCGATCTCTGTTCGGCACTTGTTAGTTTCTGTTCCGAATCGAGCTTGCGCAGAAACGCGATGAACGTGCAGATTGTGAACGGAGCCGATGAAAAATATTCGTGCATCTTTTCGGGAAGAGGAATCTTGAACTAGATTGGTAGAAACTTATAGAGTTGACTTCCTCTAGTCAATGGGTTAATCACAACAATAGTAAATACTTACTGTCTTTGGGTCTATAATCTCTGGAACCATATTGCTGAATTACAGGTGTAGCGTAAAAGAGCGACGCGTAGCTAAGATTCTTGTATATCAGATCTCGTGTAACAATCGGGTGGCTTTGAATTTCGATTATATATGATTTCGATGTGATAGCCACTAAATTTTACCTAGGACATTCTTTCGTAGTTATATAAAATGAGATCTCTTTATTCCACCAAGTTTTACTAGGAAGAACTTTTAATTCAGCATATCAGAATCCTTGTCGATTAACCAATAAAAAAATTAATCTTCCGTTACGCTATTCGCGACTGACCCTTATCAGATTTTTTTTTTCCGAATAATCAGAAATTACAGGAAATCGAACTTTTTTTAGGGGAGCATGGAACTGGTTGTTTACAACACCCACAACCTCTCGTTTCCATTTGGAGACGCCCTCGTGTGTGCAATCCTTCTCCTCTTGGAGAAGCTGGTTGGTAGCGCCTCTTCTTTGGGAGTATGGAGCTGGTTGTTTACAACACTCACGACCTCTCGTTTCCATTTGGAGACGCCCTCGTGTGTGCAATCCTTCTCCTCTTGGAGAAGCCGGTTGGTAACTCCAGGTCCCCTCCATAGCTCCAACTTCCCCAAGATTGGTTTAACACTTCAAAAGTTAGTGTACAAAGTTATACTTTTTATTTTCTTTATTAAGTTTCTGATCAATAACGATTATATATATATTTTTAAGATAATAGGACTTTTGATTTTTACATCTACAAAAAATTCTCCACAATTACCGTCTATAAAAATGTTTTTTAATTGAGTGAATGAAATATATGAAAGAGGGAGGGAGTACGCGGATCCTAGGCCATTTAATGCGATTCCCAGCATCAAGTTCTCTCTATAACTAATTTGTTTCTATCGCTAATATCTCAACTATATTTTCGCCTATTTATATCACCCTTTTCACTCCCACACACATAGATCATGTAAAATATTAAGTTCCACAAGAGAACTATTCCGTTGTGAAATAATTTCGGACCCTATAGTATCGGAGAATAGAAATAAGTACATGTCTATAATTTTCGATAAAAAATAATCAATACCACCTTACCATTATATTTAATTTTGTAGCATTCCACTCTGCAAAATATTCGAAGAAGTTGCGTTTTTGCACATTGCCAGAAAATTTATTTGATTTACTGTGCCAGATATTTGAATAGGGCATATGATAAGCACCAGCGAAGCTACAATGTTTACTGCGCTGATTTGACATGTGCCGGCATAGTACATATCAAAAAATTTATCAAAAATTAATGTGTATCGTGGGCTAAGTCCTGAACATTTGTATTTATTTTTGCATGTAATAATAAAAAATTTTTCTTGGCATTTTTTCCGAGACTGCACAGTCCCAAAAATCTTGTAACGCCATAACCTATGTCTATTTTTCTTATATCTGATATATACTGTACTAACTTACTTTTGAATATTCCATTTCTTATATAAAATTTATTAATAATGACATCTGAGCTTGAAGTATTGAAATAGTGAATCGTTGAACTTGAAGCTAAGAATTCTGAGCTTAAGGCTAAAAAAGCTGAAACTCTAAAGAGATTATGGAGGGGAATACCAGATGTGATATTAGAGTTGAGAAACTGATATAAAAAAATAAGAAGCTTGAGATCAGACTTGCGATAGTAGAACAGGCTTTCTTACCAGTAAAAGAGCAGTTGAATAATGATAATCCTTCTGATAATAGTACATCTAACTTTAATTCAATTGTAGAGTATTATGAGAAACTATTAGTGGATGTGAAAACAGATAATTCCTTTTCTGAAGAGGATTGCTATAATAAACAAGAACTGGTAACAGAGGTGGCTATGATACCTGCTAATTCTGTGAAGTACCTGCGAAGTGTCTTAATGGCTAACGGCAAATCATTAGAAGAGAAAGATATGAATAGTTTCTTACTTGAAACTCATAAGAAAATTGTTAGTAATGAAATAAAGTAATGCAATAAGGAGAAGAAGAATGAAAAAATGGCAGGGATTGATTTAAGAAATCTCTTCATCTGTACCAAAAGAAAATCATGTGACTAAAATTTCTGAGACCGTGCAGTCCTAGAAATCTGATAATTTAAATGCATTAGTGTTTTCATTTCATGGGACTACTATGATAGAGATATCTTAACATTTGGCCTAGTTATGTAATAAAGCACTTATTACAGAAGAGCATAGATTAAAAGCAATCAAGAAGAAATATTTTACTAGTATCACTATGGAAGAAATTTCATATTTCAGTTGGAGGCCTTATGATAAAAATAAAATTGGTGAAAAGAAGGTAAGAGGTCTAATATATAATGAAATCGTGAAGTAAGTTAATATCTTTCATAAGAAAAGATCTCAAGATATAAGGGTATTACTTCTAAACATAATAAGAGATAGTTTGCGTAAAAAAATTCAAAAAGCTGAGAAGATCTACAAACTTTTCGAAAAAATAAAATTGGATAAAATCCAGTATATCAAGTCATATAGTATAAATGAAATATCAAAGTTTACTAATAATGAAATCCAAAAGATTATGAATCATTTCTCAAATAAGCCTAGTATAGATTTCAGTAAGCAGGGTTAGGAAATTAGTACAGTTAATACAGCTTAGTACAGTTTAGTACAGTTAGTACACATAATAATTAATATAAAATTTAGTACAGTACAGTACAAGTACAAGGTCAAAATTTGCCTAGTACATACAAATTTCTCAACCCTACAGTGAGGATTAGGACAATTTTATTAACGATGATTTTTTCAGTCAAACTGATATGTCAGAGATGCGAGCGAATTTTTTAGTTTTAGTGAAGATAAGCAAATCAACAGCACCTATCCCTTTAACTCATAACTTTTAATTCTTCTGATGATTCTAAAGAAATCAGCCAAGCAATTCAGGTTGAGAATGATTTTTACAAAATGCTTTTGGAAGATTGTGTAAAGGATTGTGTGTATTTTGATAAGGAAATTGATTCTATACTCCAATCAGTGAAAAAAAATGAATAAAGAAGCTATTTCGTAATCAGGAAAAGAAATATACAAAAGTAAGTCAGATAATAACTCTGATTCTAATGATTCTGAAGAGGGATGCTAGATGATTCAGATGATAGTAAATACAGTAGATATAATGAATATGATGAATATAATAGAAATTATTATTATTGTGACAGAAGATACGAAAGAAAACCCTCACTAATAATGAGTTTTATTATCTCTCCGGTAACTGCTTAAAGAAATTATTACATACTTTAATATTGGATTATCTATTTTTTTTGAATCACATGAGTGGTTTAAATATTATGCACAGTAAAATATCATTATTAAACTTCTCTGCAGTAACTACATCACTATATCTGCAATTATTTATTTTATTTATTTTTCTTTGAAAATTTGAATTCACTCTTCTAGAATTAAGGGTAAATATGATTCATAAAAAGAATAAAAGACATATTTAATTCATACTATCAGCTAATAAGATCCAATCCAGAAGCCTTACAGTAACAGATATAGAATTACAAAAACTTGTGTGTTAAGGTTTAATAGTTAATGAAGTTCACAAAGTATTATCATATGATCAAAAAAGTATATCTTAGGTTGATAATTTTATTAATCTTTCGATTAAGCTTGAAAACTAATGTGATGATCTAAGAGAAAAAGCATATCACTTTTTAATGAGAGAACTCTTTAGTATAAAAGTATTTTGTGATACATTAAGTCAAGATAAATTCGTCTCCAAAACAGAATATTATAGAAATAAAATAGATAATTGCATAATTGACTTTATCACTCAAATAGGAAAAGGTAAAAAAGGATGGTTGAGCTATGAATTAGTTGCGATATTATACCAAGTGATAACTACAGAAAGAATGGTAAATTTGCTTAATGATGCTAAAAATAAGGATCCTGAAATACGTGAACAAATAACCATTTTCTAAAAGATGTTCTTCTAAAGTCACGTAAGTGACTTAGATAGCATATAAACATCATCTATATTTTCTTTTAGTGCTTCGCAATAAACGTCACTGCCTTACTGATTTATGTGAATTATATTCGCAGAATATGCTAGACGTAGTAGTACATCATCTAAAATTATTGCAATTGTATTAAAATTAGATTGCCTGTATATCTAATATAGATCTGAATTCTAATTATCTTGCATACTTAGATCTAAAATGCTTTGAAGGCTCTAAGCTAAAATTTGATTATTAAATACTTTAATAAGATCAGGAGGTATTAAAATTTTTACAAAATTCTCTACGTAGATATTTGAATTTAGCTTATCTACAGCTTCTTTACTAATTTTATAATATTCTTCTAGATTAAGATATTTTAAATTAAGACAAATTAGCAATCTCTTTAATCGTTATATCGTAATTTTACAAAAGCTAAGATCTTAGTTGTTTGAACTTTGAATAAGAACAAATAATATTACAAATTGATAGTTCACAAATATCTGTGCAATGAAAAATATTTAGATATTCTAATTTATGGTATGATAGAGTAATTGCATATAGATCTTCATTAGTTATTATGCCTATATTATAGGATATATATTTATCCTTTTGTAAATTAAGATACTTTAGATTAAAGTATGATTCTGCTATTCGTTTTAGTGTTTTATTGCTAAATCCTGTGGTATAATTGAAATCTAAATAAATTATATTTGAGAATAAGTGCACAATATTATTGAATTTTTTATACAAAAGTAAGTGGTAGTGTGAAATTTTCAGATGAATTAGATTTGAGTTATAAACTGACTTTTGTTTTCTACGCACTATTTTCATAAATTTTTTCAATTGAGAGTGATATATGTCATTTCCCTTTAGTTCAACGCATTTTCATAGAATAGAAGCATCACATCTGTATTACAGTCGAGAAACAAATAGAGTAGAATAGAGGGATTTACCTATCGCTAAAAAATATAAAATCTGTTCTAATACTTCTACAATAATAAAAATGCTTGTATATATCATAAATATTCTATATTATATATTGTATTTTTAAATGAAAAATAAATTATGTGATCACTGCTCTGGATTAGCTAGATTATTTAGATTCAGTTTCAGTTTTAGAGTTAGAAGATTCTAAATCAGAACAGCAGTAATTTTTATCAAAATTTTTGATAAGAATATTTAGATTTAGCTGGTCCATGACTTTTTTGCTAATATTTTCACATTCTTTCAAATTTAGAGATTTTAAATTAAGACATGAGCGAGCAATTTCTTCAATAGTCTTACTTGTAATATTATAGTAACTAAGATTGAGATGTTGAAGCTTTAGGCAGAAACGTATGACATTACAAATTGATGACACACTAATAAAATCACAGCAACACAGATCAAGATATTCTAATTTATCACAAGTTTAAGTTAACACTTCAGTAACCTTATCAGTGATATCATTACAGCTAATCTCTATATGTCTTAAATTCAGAGATCTTTTAATGATAGCTATAATTAATCTATCATCTCACAAAGTTATAGCATCACAAAAGTTGAGATACTTTATATTAAAGCATCTTTGCATTAAAGTATTAGCATCTTTGATATCTTCTTATTATATGCAATATCAAGTTTTCGTAAATTTAGAC